GAAGCCACGGCTGCTAAGGTAAATAACCCTCTGACTGAACATAATGTACTCCTCTCATCGACATCATAAATGCAACACTTATTGAAATTATGTGGAATCGACATGTCGTAACCCAAAACAAACAGCAGAAATAAAATACATCGAATACTGAGCCTAAACCCCATACATCAAATCGCAAAGATGAAGTAGTTATCATATGATTACGTTTGAGATCATCAAAGATCCCATGGACATCTTTGCTGCAGAGAAGAACCAACAATGCCTCCTATGCGGAGAGCCTCCAGTCAAAACACCTCCTTATCCACTGCCTATCCATACCGATAAGAAAAAGTCTAAATGTGCCCGACAACTCTTTGGAAGCCCTCAGCCCTATCATGACAACACCAACAAAGTCAATTGCATTAAAACAATGATATGTATAATTTAATTTAATAATTTATTGTAAAAACATATACCCTATTATGTACTAATTACCAATTTTGTTGCCAAGCCATCAACACAGTAGTTGATGCTGTACCATGAATAAAAATAATATGCCTATCTTTGTAGAAAACAATATTTGTAAACTAAATGTTATTTGTATAAATTAGGTAATTATTAAACTAGTGCAATAATAGATTTATATATATATTTTGATATAGATGTACTTATAATCAAGAGTTGCCAAGATTAAATCATCAATGAGGACAGGTTCAGGGGAGTACAGTGTATAAACCTAAATTGGCCTGGTTTTCATATGCAGATAGTTTTTTAAAAAAAACTTCAGATATTGATAATAAATCGGACTAATTTGGTAATATTAATAACATATTTATAATAATTATAATACTTAATTTTATGTCTTTAAATATTATTTATTGATGAAACTGATATTAATTATTCGATCATTCGATTTTGCCATGACACTTCTTCGCCAACAAAATATTCTGCAAAACTGTATCTTTTTCGAGCTTCAGTTAAAGGATTTCGTTGCGTGGGAGGTCTAATCCTGAATCCGGATGAACCTTCTTCATTTCGCCATGAACCAGAATTAAACGTCCCAACTCTAAATCCTCAATGTCACAATATGAGTGTTGACAAGTCCTGTCTTTCAATCAATTATGGGAACATGCTTTAACAAGCTTCACTACTGTTTCTGAGCGAAGTGAATAGGTTTTCTAAATACTCGGAATGGTTAGCTAGATACAAAAATTTTCAAATTCGTCTGGCACGACAGTGCCTTATTAAAATCTTTCTTTTCTTGAAAGAATATTTCTTCTTTATATGGTTTCATGAGGTAAGTTTCAATGGAAAAGCCTCATCTAACATAACTGCACCATCTGGCAATTTTAACACGTTTTCTTCAAGTGCCTTTTAAATTTGATTTTTCAAAATTCCAGCATCAGCGTTACTCTATATTTACTCAATATCAATGCATTCGAAATTATAATTATGATCAATCAGCAATAATAAAACAATGCTAAATGACCCCTTTGTAATTGTAGTAGTTTGGAACCTGTATTTGGAGGACATTGTGTCATTATATGCTTACCATCAATGGCACCAAGCAATTTGGCAATTTGGGAAATTCCATAATGAATTAAAGCCATTAATGATTTTCTTCCATTCGTTTTCATTTTTCGGGACCTAAAAAATTAATACAAATTAATATACAACAACAAACTAATTTTATATTAATAAATTAAAAATTATATTTTTATAGGTATTAAATGATAAGTGTTGATTTAACATCTGTGGATAATGATGATTCTCAAATACTACAAGTAGAAGCACAGTTTGATAAAGATGCTGAGTTAAAAGCTAATGATGATGATGATAACTTTAAAGCACCTACATGTACACCAAGGAAGTCAAAAAAAAATATTTTTAAAAAAACTAAAATTGATAACACGTTGGACAATGCTGTAGAAACCCAGAAATATGTTTGTAAAAAACAAACAATGGAAAATGAATTTACAGTTTTTGCACGCGTGAGATTTTCGATGGCACTCGAAAAACTTTCATTTGTCCATATTTATGTATATTAATAATATATATTTCACAACGAGGTATTGTTATCTTATCTTTTTTTTTATTTAATAGTATTTAGTACAGAACTACGACGGCTCAGATATCTTATCTTTATTATTATAAAATATAATTTATATGTTGTAATATAGTGGAACACTAGATTACTAGAAGTGTGTGGACAAGTTAATATTACTCGTATATAGGTAATCAGTTCTCGTTCGTGTATTGAGAGAATACACCGTGTGCGAATTTTACGTTATTATATTAATTTTTATTTAAAATGTCACATGCAAAAAAAACAAAAATTACAGGATGTTCGAAATTTTTTACCATCATGGACAATTGAATATGGTTTTATTAAATATGGAGATAAAAGTCGATGCGGTCTGTACTCTGAAATTATTGTATCTCGGACATCTTCTATCAAACGACATTTTGAAACAAACCACAAAGAAATTTTAGAGTTAAATATTACTGAAAGGAAAGAAGTTATTTCTCAACGCTTGAAGGTAATTGAAAACCAATCTAATTTGTTATGTAAATTCGTAAAAACTTCTAATAATGTCACTGAAGCAAGTTTTGAAATTTCTCATTTAATTGCCAAACACTCAAAACCATTTTGTGAGGGCGAGTTTTTAAAAACGGTCATGTTAAAAGCTGCTCCTAGTTTATTCCAAGATTTTAATAATAAAGATAAGATACTTCAGAGAATTCAAGAATTACAACTAAGTAGAAATACTATTAAAGAAAGAATTTTAAAAATGACCGTCAATATTTCTGATCAACTTCAGTCTGATATTAATAGTTGTGATTTCTTCTCGATTTGTTTGGACGAAACAACAGATATAAAGTCATCTGCTAGATTAGCAATTTTCGCACGTTTTTCAAACGGGAATGAAATGCGTGAGGAACTTTTAAAATTAGCTAATATACCAGAAAGAACAAGAGGTACAGATGTTAGTGATATTGTTGTCAATGAATTAAAAAAACTCAACATAAATTTAAAAAAAATTATTTCTGTTACGACGGATGGAGCACCCAATATGACTGGAGCATCAATAGGTTTTGTTAAGTTATTTGAAAAGCATGTTGGACATCCAATAATTGGATTTCACTGCATCATACACCAGCAAATGTTGTGTTCCAAAGTCGGCACAAGTGATTTAAAAGAATTGTCAGAACAAGTTAATAAAATTATTAATTTTATAGTTGCTCGTGATATGCATAAAAGACAATTTAAAAAAATTTTAAATGATGTTAACTGTGAATATGATACTCTTTTATTGTGCAATAATGTACGCTGGCTAAGCCGGGCTACATCATTAGAACGATTTGTAAATTGTTTGGACGAAATTCGCCTATTTTTACATGATAATAAGACTGAATTTAAAGAACTTTATAATACAGAGTGACTTGTAAAATTGATGTTTTTCACAGATCTAACATTACATTTGAACACTTTGAATAAAAAGTTACAAGGACGCGGTAAAACAATTGCCCGCATGGCACTAGAATTACCCAAGGAGATCCCCGGTAATCCGGAGCAGGAGTATTGGGTAAGTAATGGGAAATCCAATACTACTCCCATTATAATCCTAATGTCCTGTCCAATGACAATCCTACTTCGGATAACCTTGGCATATAATGTTTAGGCATTCCTGGGATACTATTTTCAGTCCGAAATCAATCCTATAATTATCCAATAAGCAGCGCCCATTCATAGGTGGATTAAATTGTAATTATGTATTATATTTAATTGTATTATATATATGATAAGCTATAAAGACTTCAACCCTAATATTTAATAATTTGGGGGTTTTTGAAAATGTTTGCTCCCCATTTTTTGGCTACCGGCCCACCAAGATTTTTTCAGTAGCTTGCCGGATCAATCTGGGCCCACTAATAGGACATAATTTGGTTAAATTTCAAAACTAGCTTTAGACAACATTGAGTAAACCAATTGGGAGCTGTAAAAATTAATAATAATAATCATAATATACATAATTTTTAGTAGAATATATTATATATCAATTAAAAAAAAAAAAACTTTATAACTGTAAGTATCTTAAGAACACAATTAATAATTTATTAATTTTAAAATAAAACTTCTTAGGCATTAGCCTCTTTTCTTTTCATCCTTTCTTTTGAATGGCGTAGCCAACTACTAGTTGTTTTAATAACAATATCATCCATATAGTTATTGGGAAATTTCTTTCTTCCAGTTTCTGTGAAATTATTTTATAATATACAATTTAACCATTTATAATAAATAATAATTATTACTCACCACAAATAACACGAAATAATTTTAATGTTTTTATTGACAATTTAGGTTCATTTCCAAAACATTTATTTATTTTACCGGTTATTGTAATATTTGTTCCTAAAGAGTTTGTAAATAAATTGTCCAAACAGGTTTTTACAAAAGTACCAATATCTGATCCTCCGTACATCGAAATAATTTTTGACTGCAATTTACACAAATTAAAATTTATATACTTAATAAAATTCAGTAAGTAAATATTAGTTTAAAGTTATCTTACCAAGTATTGGTAAAATGAATCATCGTTAAGAAGGCCTTCAATATAATCAAGATCGTCATTGTTTTTTAATGGAAATTTTTTGTAATGGATAGAATGCTCATTTTCAAGTGACTTATCAGGGCAATTATTACCATTGACTGCTAATTGATTAAATATACGCTCTTGGTTAGAGATGATTCGACAATTCTGGGCTTTAATTTCAAAAATATTTTTCATCAATACACTAAATTGCTTCATCCCTACAAATATATCAAAATAAATAAAAATAAAACGTTAACTAACAAGATTTAGTTAGAGTTGACTGATATCAGTATGACAACACATTATAATATAGTAGTATAATTAAATGTTATTATGTTACTTTTGTTCACTGGAGATGGTGATTCTTCTGTGAATAAATTATGAAATGCTGCACGTTTAGATGTACTTGAAGTTTCCAGAGTGTTTGTTGTTACTATAAAATTATTTTGTGTAAAATTCATAAAAAGTTAGATTACATTAAAATTTTAAATTGTATTAAGTTACTTTTATTTACTGGAGAAGGTGATTCGTCAGAAAATATACCATGAGTTGACCGTTTAACTAAACCAATGGTTTTTGCATCTTTACTATTGTTTGTTTCTTTCATACAATTTTAAAATAAATTATTACTTTTGTAAGACATATATAGCGATGTTATTAAGAGGATGTTATACTCGCATGTATTGTCTCCGTTGTAGTATAAATAAAAGCATATGAAATTTCAAGATAATATTCTTATCTTTAAATTTGACAATAGGTAAATTTACTCTAATATTAAAGCTAATATCACAAATGTTCTGCTGAACACAAATTTGCTAAGATGTACGTTAGTACAACAGATACAACACATGTACCATAATATGTTCTCTTAAATTTATTTGTTTACTTCTGTTCACTGGAGAAGGTGATTTGTCTGTGAATAAAGTACGACATGCTGCACGTTTAAATGAATTTTTAGATAGAACAGTACTTGAAGTTTCTAGAGTTTTAATTTTTCCTACAAACAAATTTTGTAAAAAATTCACATTTTTATAAAAAAAAGTTTCAGTATATTTAAATTTTATTAAATTACTTTTGTTTAATTGAGAAAATGGTTCTTGAAATATACTAGGTGAAGGTATATCAGGATAAACAACATTATGGCTCGTAGTGGCATCTAAATGTAATATGAATTATTAGTCTTGTGAATGGATATTACTATAGAAGAACCCATATTTTATGAATAATAAATCAAACAATACCTTTCTGTGAAAGAATAATAGATTTGTTCTGATCAGGACTATAATTATTTTTTTTTGCTCTTATTTGTCTTTGAGATTTAGCCAATGCTTCAATCTCAGTATCGCATTCAGAATAGTTGAATTGTATAACTGTTGATAGTTTTTCAAATGCTCTTTCAAAACTGTCTATAATGGTGGGTACAACAGAAAATTATATTATTAGTTAATTAAAATAACATTATAAAAATTATTAAAAACTAATATAATATTGAGCTTACCACTTGAGCCTAAAATTTTTTTAATTGACCAAACTGGCCAAAAATCTGTGGGATTTGTCATGTTTTTCACAGCTTTATTATACTGGTTTTCAGTATGAACATCTGTACCAGGTCTTGGTAATTTACAAGAATATTTTTCATCATTTTTATTTTGAAACAACCAAGTCTTTGGAATACACTGGACCCTACTATCTTCAAATTCCACAATCAAATAATTACTAAAAATATTAAACATAATAATTGTTTGTAAAATTATATCAAAAACTAAACTAATGGGATATAAAATATATACAAATGGAATTTTCCTCATTTCCACAATTATAATTACTTTTAACTATACAATATACATATTATAATATGTTTAACATAATCTTAATTTAATTTAAAATGTTAAGACACAGTTTATTGTTTCTAAATTATCATCAAATTTATTATTAATAAAACAATGACAATTACAAAATATACTTAAGTTAATGTAAAAAATTAAATGCTAAGTAAATAAAAATAACACCTATAACATATTCAAATTTTAAATCAAAAAATATTTCTTTATTCAGTGTGATGTAGTGGAACTACAGCCATTCTGGTTGAATCCAAACATATCGGAAAAGAGAAGTACTTGAATTCAATATCTTTTACTGGCCATGTCATAAATTCAGATAAGTCATCTACTTCATAAATGCCCAAAATAGATGATGGACATGGTAACTTGTAAAGATCAGATCTTTTAAGGTATTCTTTACCAATAATAACAAATAAACCATCAATATCTTTTAAGGCTATGTTGAAAATTTTAATTATTTTATTCCCTTTGACACAGCAACAGTCATTTTTGTTGTCATTTACTATGAAAGTCATATCATTAAATATTAATTTTTTGTATTGAGAGTTGGTACACCCTTGAAGTAAAGGACCATTCATGTGTGGATTATTAAAGATGATTTGTTTAGATGTATTGATGTCACTTGAATTGGACAACTTATTAAAATTATTTAAAGCAGTTGATTCTGCGTACCTTCGAACTATTTGTTGCAAAGGTTTGTCTTCTTTGTGTATTTTTTTCTTTAAATGCCCTAAATAACTTTCAAATTGAAATGTGCTAAAATAATCTAGAGAACCATAATTTTCAACATCATCGACTAAATGAAGTAATCCATGGATATTATAACTAATATTATGTTTACCATAAATTATTCCAAATTGTTTAACAAAACATTCTATAAGATTCTTTGCATAATTTAACCATTTTTGTTGGTAACAGTATCGTTTTGAACATAATATTGATACAGCCACATGCAATGAAATAAAATTTTCATAAACTTCATTACTTAGTATATTTTTTAAAATAAATGGCCCAGAGTATAATAATAATTGGCGGTATTCTGTGGCTTTCCATTTTTTAACATAATTTAATGATCTAGGTTTTCGTTGAAATTCTATAGGAACACAGTTTTTAACCAAATTTATTAATGCCAATGATATCAATTGAACATTACGGAAAGGTAATCGTATTCTAAGATCACCAAAATTCCACATCAACAATAATTTTTTCACAATGCCTAGACAAACCAGATGTTGATAGTCAAGTGGAACTTGACTGACAAGACCAAACCTAGGAATATTTTCAAGTGGGCTTGTTCCTTGATGATAGTCTTCATCCTCATGATCAGCAAAACTCTTATCTGATCGTTTTTGACCAATGTAATCTGTAAAACATACTCTTCTCTCCGAGTAATCACCAACAATATTACATTTGGTGCAACTTGAATAACCTGTATGATACTTAATATTTAAAACCATAGCTTTGGCTGGAGCATCAGCACAAAAACCTTTAATTGAAAAACTATAAGTTTTTCCTAAATAATGTATTCCAAAATGTGTCAAATTAGAGGCCTCTACAACAAAATCTTCTAAAAAGGCAAATGTATCAGAAGGTTTTTTATTTCCATGGTATAATCCTACCAAAAACACATAGTTGGTTTTATAAATTAATCCTAAAATTGGCCATAATTCACTTGAACCAGATTTTGTAACTGGTATTCCATCAATATTAAACAAAATTTCTATAGCATTATTTGGTACGTTTGAATAGATTTTTAAGTATTCCAATATCCCTTGTTCTATTCCTAAATTGGAATAGAAACCCGGTTCAACTCGTCTAATATCAGTGGATATTGGGGTATTTAAGAGTGTACGAGAATCTAATGGTAAGCCATATGTAACATTTAAACCATAGTTAGAAAACCCACGAAGAAGATTATTTAAAGAACTTGCATTGATATTTTCCTGAACTGCCCAACTTCTTAAAAAGTCTTTGAAGCTAATTACTTGATCTTTTTTATGATGTATAACATGAATTGACGAGGCATTAAAGTTTTGATTTTGAATAACATTAACTTCCAGATTTAAATTTGAAGTATTAGATAAAACTGAATTTGAGTATGAATTTTCTAAAATATTTGAAGCAATTGAACTTGTATTAAAATTATGAACAGTTTCTGGAGTAATATTATATGATATTGGATCAGAATTAGGAGTTAGATGTATTGTTTTATAATCAGTGAACTTAACTTCATTTTCAACTTGTAATAATTCTGCAGCTATTCTTCGGCGACGTTGACGAGTTGTTATGTCATTTACATTTTTTCTATAAATTAAAGCAACATATTTTTATAGAATTTTGAGAATAATTTAATTGGTTGTCTTATTAAATATTTCACATTTAATAAATAATTAGTATAATCATTGTGTTGAAACTGTTATGCCGTTTAAATAATAAAAGTGGTAACTGATCAGTGTCCTGCACACAGGATTATAATAAAACTGTATTGAATTATTAGATCTCAAATTTTCATTTAAGTAATTTTTTATGTTTTTAATTTATTGAAATGTTAATTATTAGCTTATTCAGCTTATCATTAAAGACTTAAAATTGATTAAAATTATGCTAAAAAAATATTCCATAAGTATTAAGTTTTAAGTAATTGTTTTTAAGATTTGATTTTTATTCATTAAAAGACTAATTTACACATTTATTTTTGTTTTTACTTTAAAGTTGTTATTTTGTTTATGTTTTATTTTACCTAGTTTCTAATTTTTAATCATGAAGGTACTTATTACTTAATAGTTTATGGTCAATAATATTATATTAAATTATAGCTATAATAATACACAATATAATCAAAACAATATCATAATAACAGTTTAAATCATAATAGGTACTCATAGAATATTTCTTTGAATATAATTGTAATAAATTTAAAGTCTTTAATGATATTAGTTAACATTTTAATAAACTAAAAACAAAATTTACTTATAATATGAACTTTTTAGATCTAAATCAATCATTAATTTTTTGTAACAATATGTAATAATCGAATAGCTAATGTTACAGATGTCTTCATGAAAGAGTTACTAGAATGAATCAATGAAATAAATCAAAAAACAAAAAGATGATTTATGTAGGAAGACAATCACGCATTAACGTTTTAAAGTTCAGTATACTGTTTTCATCAGTCGTTTTTCCGTTATTACGGTAAAACAAAAATTTATTTATAACGAATTTATCACAATAAACCTTTTGATCTCTGCGAACATTAGGTACCGCATGCCGCGGAGACAGTAAATTAACGTTGCACGATTTTAGTGTGTAGGCTACTAAATAACTCACCGTTTATTATTGTCGGCCATAATACTGCAGCTGTATGTCAGTCGTCTTCTAAATCAAAAATCAGTAACCAACACACTTACATACTCATAAACCAAGATAATTAAGCACACTGCACAGAATACAAGTATATTATAATGGGTAACGACGGTCATTGGACGTTGACGGTTGACCATAGATATTGAATTATATAATAATAATAATATATTTTAGTTATTTGTGATCGTCGTCGTCGCCGACGAAGATAACAATTTTGGGTTTACCCATTAGTAAATAATTATTAGTTCGCATTTGGTCGGCTGTTTGTAGATTTGTAATGTGTTTGCAATGTTTGCATTGTTCGACATAGGTACGCTAAATAGCAGTAGTTAGTACAGACTACGGATTAAAATATAAATTTATTTGTTATTATAGACGAACGAGCGTCTTTCATTTTTTTTTGTGTCTTCGCCTCCAGACTTCCAGTCGTAACGTTCTATTGGCCATCCCTATTAATGTATTATAAAGGTGCGTCTCCACTGGCGTGCGGCTAGGCCGCGCGGCTTTGGTAGCCGATCGGCCGAAGCCGCGGGTTCCCGATGGTTGTCGGTTAACATCAAAGAAAGCCGATGCAGTGGAGACGCACCTTAATATAATATTATATAAAAATATAAAATATAATAATTATAAGATATTGCCATATTGATATTGGGTACTCGTACTCCGAAAACTTACCTACGCAGTGTCGAGAGAAATTATTATGAGGCCTTTTTTTTTGTGAGGCCCCAG